TCAGCTGAGTTTAGTTCGTCATTGCACAAACATTTCATCAGTTTACCAAGATGTATTAAAATGTTTGATGGCTTGAGTATAACCAACTTTAAAAGCGGTTCTGTCAACGGTATTTACTATGACGATGTCAGGCAGAGTCGGCAATGTATTGTTAACATTAATTAAACTACTGTTACTTTTTCTTCTCACTTCCGTCTTCAACTGGATTATGAAGATAATCGATATTTATTTATCGATATATTCGATATTTAACCAAACAACATCAGTAAGCCAGAGGCGTCAATAGGTCGAAGGTCACACAGGGCGGTAACTGAGGGTGTCAACGCATTCTTTTCCAAGCGTTAAGTATTTTCTGTTTGGTGTCACCGCTCCCCTTTATTATTTTATTATTTTAACTAGATAAAAACCGGTTTGAGGATTTGGACTGTGTGGCCAGTTTGAGTTTGAGTGTCGCAGGAATACACTTTATAATTTAGGATTTAGACCCGCCCCCTGCAATCATTTCCCATGAAAACTAATTGCAGGGTTTTCGTAACCCGGAAGTATCTGGCTATTTTATTTACATCCTTAAGAAATCACTACACATAAGACCATCGGAAGTGTATAGCAGATCTGTACAAGGAAAGATATTACCAGTAATGGATTGTAAAAATCCAGTAGTTAAATCATGAATAGCCCGGATCTAGACGAAACGACAACAACACGTCAGCTTACACCTCGACAAAACATCCGCCACAACATCCTGAACTGAATTGTTTATGTTATTGTCGCCGTGTTTACATGTCATGTAGACCTAAAAAAAACTAATACTAATAACGCTCTGAATTATAAGTACCAACTTAAGTCGATTTTTTATCGATAAGTCGCTCCACATACCCACATATCCGCGCCGCTTAGTATATGTCAATGATCTGGGTTTTTTTACTTTCCCTAACGTAAGTCACATACTCATTAGAGCTGGGTGGACTCAGGGAATCCAAACTCCAGACTTTCGGGTTAGCAGTGCTACAACTCGACCACGCCATCCCTTACTATTTCCCCAAACCTAACCTTAATCTTCAAACTAAGCTGAATCTCAAAGTATTTGATTAAGTTTTGCCACCATTTCCTTAATTCGGTTTAGCTATGGCCAGTGTTTCTTTCAGACTTTTTCTCCGTGGGGATGGGGTACTTGAAACTTCCGGGAGGGGGGCGGACTAAATTTTCAGGATTTGAGTGGCGGACACTGGTAAAAGTATACGATAGTCTCTAAATAAATTATACTTCGATCGGGGGTGGTAGCTTTCATTCGGGTGCAACCCCCTTTCTCTCTTCCTCTCTCCCTCCCCCCCCCCCCCACCTCCGGAAGAGATGCCTGAAACTCTGGTTATGATTGGAGTTGTGGGAACTTCACAACAGGCTATTTTATTTATCAAATTTCAGTGTAGAAATGTATATCTAAGGTTAATGACATAAAACAGAACGTTAAACTTACTACGTTTTTTTAACCGTTATCAGTAGTTTTACAGTAAGCCTACAACAATTTAGTCAAGGCTGGATTAACAAGTGAGCAATATTAGTACGTGGGCTACAGAAGGCATCAATGGAAGCGCTGCGCCAAAAACAATTTACATAATGTTTATTGCGAAACAAAGTATTAAATTAATTTTAAAAATCCATAGGTGTAGCGACCTATTCATTAACATTTTCTATTTTGGTGTCACACATTTTATGAAGAGAATCAGTCTGTAAAGCCAAGTAGTAGTCTATTTTCTTTACTTTGTGTATAATCCAGTAATACAATTCAAAATGAGCTGTTTTTTGTGTCTACCCGTCGCCCCACCCACCCTCCTTTTGATTCGCCCCTGCGAACAACTATGAAACAAGACAGACATGATAGTTTCTAATTTTTTATAACACAAAAATGTTACCCGAAATTTTTGTAATTCTTTGTCAAAGAGTTTTCTGATTATTTAAAAAAAAAAAAGTAGAATGTATTTTATAGAAAAAATATCTATCGCATTTCCACTGGCCATCTGGTAGAGTACACTATGATCTGTCAACCATTTTGGCTATGAATAATTATGAGCCAACGCGCGTGTTGCATAATTACAATTGTATACACATTGGGTTATATTAAAAATAGTTTTATTCAGTTCAGTTATCACTGGAGCCAACACAATTGACTTCAAGCACCAGTAGAAAGTTGACACGTGAAACTCCAGATTTCAAGGAGAGTTGTTAAATAAGTGAAATTTTCCATCTCTGAATGATCGTTTTTCAGGCTCAGGATTACATTGGAGGCGTTTGTAAGAAAGATTTAGTGATTGTCATCAATAAATTACCATGCTAGACGCAGAAGGTAAGATTTTAAGCCTAAAGTCTCTCAAATTGCTTGTTAATTCCATGCAGGAAACCTAAGTTCGACGACTGCAAATGTTCTGTGAAATATTTCTGGTCATTCTCGTAACAAAGGCGTCGTTGAGAAGAAAAATCAATCGATACAAATACTATGAACCCAATAGGCCTACTAACGAAACAACGTAATACATATTATGATTATTTGATTTTATTTCAATATATTTGTCGTCTTCTTTTTTTAATAAACCGGGAGTGATCTCCCCTAAACTTTCTCGAATATTCTTATAAAAAACAACATGGGATGGGAACTCGGGCTATAGACACGATTTTTAATCCATTTTAAATACTTAAAGTTTTAAAAATAGAATAAAATCTCGTAGACAAAAAAATTGCACACCAAGCGAACGCCAAATAAAAAAAGTGCATAATAGTGCGCAATATTATTAGTACTTTAAAAATTTACATTAGTTTTTTGAGAAATCGGAAGTAGCGTAAATTACTACTTCCGGTCAACGGAAATTACTCAAAATTTAACAGAAGGTAGAGAATTAAATCTGTGACTTACATGCAAAATTTCATTTATCTATCTGAAATAGTACTCAAGTTATAGGCTTTTGAAAACTTCAAAGTAGAAAAAGTACCACTTCCGGTTATCAGAAATCTCTCAAAAGTTGATACGGATCTACGATTTTGATAAAATACTTATATATGAAATTTCATCAACCTAGCTGTAACGGTACTCAAGTTATCGTGTTTACACACGGACAGATCGACAGACAGACACACAGACATACGGACAGAATTGCAAAGCCCAGTTTTTCTGACTGGATTACGCATAAAACCTCTTAATTTTGATAAATCCGGATTGATAATTTTTGCCCGATTAAAATAAGTCCTCTATACTTCGGATGTGATGAAGGACTGAGGTGTAATACGGTGAAAATTGTTAAAATTTCAAGTGATTTTTGTGCACGATTACAATACTTTCTCTATACTTCGTATATACGAGAAAGTAAAAATGGTGTAACGTTTTTAAATTAGACTAACCAACTTACTAAATTTAAAAAAAAATAATAATTAAATTGAAATGATCAACACTGGAGGAACAGCCTCCATATTTTTAGCTTAAGCTAACCTGATAGATATGGTGGTCAAAAGGGCAGGTAAAGTAGTTCACCTCTATCTCTGATCACGGCATCGGAAGGGCTACTGAGATAAGTTCTATGCCCAGCCGACTTTACTTCCCCCCCAACTTTACCCAATAGAGCTGACTGGACCCAGAAAGAACTCGCGTCCAGGAACCACAACAGCTGCAAGTCAACCACCTGTTATGGACCTACTTGCCGCTTATAGCTATACCTACATAAGTAGCTAGAGTATCGCCATCAAGGACACTTCGTCCCCACAAGTACTTCTTTCGGACCTTATGATCTATGTGGCAGGTGAAGTAGAGTTCACCTGTTTCAGTGACCTCGACATATGAATGGAGTGTGTGGTCAGCACTATGGCCAGCCGCCTTTACTTTCCCTATGTCAGTCAGGTATCCAACAAAGCTGGGTGGACTCAGAGATTTTCTATGGATCCGAACTCCCGACTTTCGAGTTAACACAAACAGTTCTACAATTCGACCACGCTGCCCCTTACTTCGTCTCCAAACCAAACCATAATCCTCAATATAAACTGAATTTCAAAGTATTTTTAATTTGATTAAGTTTTCCCTTAAACCGGTTTAGCTACTATGTATGATTCAAGTTGTGGGAACTTCACAACTGATTTTTTTTTATTTACCAAAAGTCGGTGTAAAAATGTATATCAAAGGTTAATGACATGAAACTGAACGTTTAACTTACAGCGAACTAAAGATTAACCGTTATCAATAATTTTATAGGGGCCTACGACAATATTTGGAAGGTCGTCGAACAAACATGTTATTGTGTTCACAAGAAAAATAGCTGTGTATGTGTTCTATTTTATCGTGTGTGCTGCTCGTTGTCTAGACTCTTTAACTACACATGATTTCTCAATTCTTAGTTGCGCAGATTTCTAGATCTAGTGTTGCTATTCTTTTTAGTTCACATTGAGAAATTCGGTAATAATTTTCTTACTGTTACATATTACGGTACCATTATATAAACATTGGAAAGCTCTACTGAAGTGCCTCCCCATTATGAAGTTATTGAGATATAGGCATACTCAAAGTCAAAGGGAAAAAAAACAAGTATCAGATTTATTTAACGCATACCCTCTCACATAACTAACAACAACTAATCGCAGTGCGTTGACCCACTTTCTTGTCTGTGGTTGCATCATTATAAGCTTCATAGTATTATAACATTTAGAAACGCAACGACCCACTTTAAAACGTAATTAGTTCAAACAGTAATACTACTCAGCAGTTAACAGAATATATACAGATCTATTTATATAAATATTAATACGTAAACGCAAGCTGATATCACTTGAATAAGATAATAATTTTTATAGTCATGTTGGTGTTATTGTTGGATAGCGGCAACATGGAGTTCAGTTGGTGCGTTGGTGGTGTAGCCAATCGATAACTAAGAAAGCGACACACCTCCAGAACAATGTTTCTGATTGGTTAAAACTGATGTTTCCGGACCCAACCCCCTTGATGATTTTTTTTTTCAGTTGCTCCAGTTCTGAAACGCAGTACGTCACTCGATAGCGGCACGAGACGGTTGAGTTGTGGTAGGGAAATTTTCAAATCGTGAAGTAAATAGTCTAGACGAATTAGATATCAATTTTATCAATAAGTTAATCAAATATATTAGTCTTAACAGTTCCTCGCGTACAACTACTCTGACTCTGTAGTGTACTCGACAATCATCGAATAATTTAATTTTTAAGTAACAAGACAACCTTTTCACTTTTCTGACACTTCGCAGTACTACTCAGTCAGGTCAGTTATTTCATTCATTTTAACTTTTTAACGTTTTAAGTATTTAGTAACGTATTTAGTCGTATTTCAACTCATTTTATTTTCTCTTGTTAGATCTAGAATCCAGATCTAGATCTAGATCTAGAATAATCTAGATCTAGAAAACTAGATTTAGAATCTAGCTGGCATATAACAAAATAATAGTAGGCCTATAGAACTATAGATACTACATAATACTAGATATAGGCCTAGAATCTATAAAATAATAGAATCTAATGATCATGATCTAATCTAGATCTAGATCTGGATCTCTAGAATAGAACTGAATAAGCCTAGATCTAGATCTATATTTTTTTAATTTTTAGGATAGATCTATCTAGATCTAAATCTGCTTATTAAGATTAGTAGGGATATTACAACTTAACTAGGGCATACTAGGCCCTAGGCTCATCTTTTTATGTTTTGTTGTTGCTGTTGTGTTATGTCCTATTGTTGCCTTTTATTAAAATTAATAAAACAAATTAGGCCTAGACCTATTCTGAATGTTATTAAGATGGTTCAGTTAGCCGTGTCTTTAAAATTGAAATACAGCAAGTTGTAGGGCCTATGTAAAATATTTATTGTAGGCATATACATTATAATCAATTACACAACATGCGTAATAGTTCAGGTTCCTCTTTTTAATAAGGTATTCATTAAAAAAGCTTTGAAATAGTATGGACTATATATATATATATATATATATATATATATATATATATATATATATATATATATATATATATATATATATATATATATATATATATATATATATATATATATATATATATATATATATAGGCCTATATATACAGCAATAATTATTGTCAAATAAAACTATATTCATAAAATGGTAATGTATAGATCTATACTATATTCAACCTATACTACGCACATCTAGTATCTCCTATAACAGTACTAACTAAACGTAAAGCAGAAAAGGCACTCAAAGCAACATATATCATCTTGATGATGCAATACTCTAGGATGCGTATGTTGTTATTTCGGAATTATGTTTTCAACACATAATCCATATCTACGTTGTTAACATTGCGATACTAAATTATTGTGGCAATTATTTGTCTATTATGGTATGTCATAATCATTATCCCAAACCTAAGTTGATCAGTAGGCACAGCATTCACAAAAAAATAATCGATCAAAGTGTCCTATAATGTTTGATAAGAATGACAGTGGCGTAGGCAGGGGGGGGGGGGTTAGGGGGGGGTCATAACCCCCCCCCCCCCATAGACCCCTCGGTATATATATAAAAGGTATGAGGGGGGTGCAAATCGAAAGTTTGGGGGGGGGGGGGGGGTGCAAATCGAAAGTTTGAGGGGGGGGGGGTGCAAATTGGACCCCCCCCCCCTTGAGACGATCCTGGCTACGCCACTGAAGAATGAGTCCTAGAATAGTTAGATGCCAGCTCAAGTAGGGTCCTTTATAACGGAAAACTATTTATCAGACATTTGTTAAAACGGAGTACCGTACATATTGTATTGTATCACCTGTCACATATTGCATCATAGTTGAAGCGTGGCATGACTCTAAATAAACGCGTTCTATTTTTAGCACGTATGCTACACATAGCACTCTAACAACCCCCAGATGGCGCATTTTTACAGTCTCACATCCCCCCCTCCCCAGATATTGTCACACAAGTGTGTGTGTGTGTCGGCCCACCATCATTAACTCCCAACATTTCATGCGCCCTAGGCCAAACTTTACACTGGCTTAAAGCCTGTCGTTTTTTACCCTACCGTCAACTACCATGTGTAAAAAAAAATAATTGTAGACTATGCGCTTTCTCACGTGACTTGCGGTGTTGGCTAAACTAGCACGATGTTAGATCGCCACGTCACGTGACCCACCCCTCCCTCCCACACATTACGTGCTTCAGCTCGTGATCCTTGTCACGTCTACTCTGTCGATAAAGTAGCCTCTAAACTTGAGGTTCGCCTTGATGAAACCAAAATTTGACGGATGAGATTTTTGACCTGGCTCATAAATCCCTACCGTAGGCGTATGGAGCTGTTTAACAGTCGCAAATGAACTTTAGGTTTTGAAATAAATCAGATAATATGCCCCGCGGTCACTTTTTTTTCTTCGCTTGAATCTGGTTCATTACCCATGGTATAAATTATCAAATGATTTTTGTATAATAGGACCCGATATTCTGTCCGTCCATTGACCTTTAATGAAATAACTATTCAAACACTGTTGAACTACATATACATATATAGATGATGTATGATAACTGCTGTGATAGCTAGGCAACACGACTTAAATCTTCCCTAACTGTTCATTACAAACGTAAAAACTGTACTCTCGTAGCCTATACAGTAGGCCTAGACTATACCAGCGACGACGGCAGGTAGTGGGTAACATTTAACACGCCCATTTCGTCCTTCTTGCCTTACTATGTCAACATTAAGCTTGAGGCAAATGTCTGAGTGTCAGCTATTTTAGACTTCTCCTTCACTCCCCCCACTCCATTTTAGGCCCCTATAGGGCAACGTTATAAATAGAAGTAATTAAAGTGTTAACTAGTAGGCTACCACCCCAGTAAATTAGGTTTAGTAAAACTAGAGTATTTTATTATATCCCCCATAATGTTGTCACAAGTTTACTAGTCGTGTTGTGCGTTCTTTAAGTCCTACTCGTGTCACATTTACTGGCCGAGCCCAAGGTCAACATTCAAGGTCAAACATGCTTCAGTACCAAGACGTCACTTGTCTCCTTAGCAACCATTGTAAATATTGATCCGTGACACGGGAAATTCTTACAGAGCCTTTTATTTATTTATTTCATGGGGGGGGGGGGGGGGGGGCTTTTATTGATTTTGGCGTGGCCGAAAACTGTATCAGTTATAGTTAAAAGGTGTAACATCTTCTCATTTTGTACAATGTTAGTGTGAAGCGTAATGCGGATAGTCTTTGAATAATGAATAATGCTTTCAATTTTCCCAAAAATAATTGGATTTAAAACACATACACAGAGAAAGGGGAGGAGGGAAAATCGGGGCCATCAACACTAGTGGAAATGTTCATCCACTATTAATTGATTTATAAGATACACGGAGTTCAAACCAGCAGACATTCCCACATTTGTACTTGAACAATTGCCATTAGCCACATTTCAGTTTCTAATACATTAATATTGAATTAACTGTTTTCTCATCTTTGCATGATTATTTTTTAAAGCTGTCAGATGTACTGACTCAATCTTCATATGCTCATATAAAAACTTGTGTATTGACTCAATCTGTATATGCCCATACATAAAGTTGTCAGATGTATTAACTCAATCTTCGTATGCCCATATTTATTCACAGATATAGAAATGGCATCAAAAGTAGGACGGAGCCTTGCCCGTATGTTTGGATCCACCGCCACCATCCCACCCACAATTCAACCCAAGAGATGTCCACCACAGTGGAAGCTGCCAGCCAACACCACATCAGCCAGGAGGGGTAGCCATGGTTACTATGCTGATATGGAGAGTAAACCAAGGGTTCTCATCACCGGTGGGTTACTGGCCCCCATAGCTGGATATACCATCAGCTATACCTTTACGCTCAACCCACCTTAACCAATACATTCATGCACCAACCCATTATATAATCATATATAATCAATATTATAAATTACCAGACAACATTATTGCAAAGACAATCCACAGTAAACCATTTGAATATCTAACCCAGTGTAAATGACATATTTGTCTTTTAAAATATATTAAAATACATGAGAATATATAATACAATAATAACATCCACAATTATCATAACAAATTATTACTTACAAAATACAAATTAATTGTTCATCAATTTTAATTTTCCAGGATCTTTAGGACAACTTGGCCCTGGTCTTGCTAAAATTCTCAGGTAAGAATTCAATAAAATAAAAAAAATGTCTATTATGGACCTGAAATTATTTTTTTTTAAAAGTGCAACTGTGTACAACTATCTTTTTTATAGCCTAAAGTTGATTGCCTTTTACTGGATATGTTACAATGTAACAGAGACCCAAGAATAATTTTTTGTTACAATCTAAGTCTCAAATAAAATAAATATAAATTAAACCATTACAAGAGCTATAGTGAAGATGTGTGCTCAAACATCACAGATTTAGGCATGTTATCCCCCTTAAAAAAGACACTTGTCTAATAGTTGTTATCATACATTGTGTCACAGGTGTTAATTTATTTCCTATTTGAAGTGTGATTAAGGGAGACAAGCCCAGAAACATCTGTTCACACCAAGTATAAATACAAATCAGATTAAAATGTTAAAATGTTTTTTGCCATCAGAGAAAAATTTGGACGTGACAATGTGATAATGTCTGACATCAACAAAGCATCTGAATCAGTTCTAGAATCAGGTACATCCAATTCCTGTCTTTTTACAATAATTTGTTTAATCAGAATTTTAAAAGTAATTATAAACTTTAATGATTTTTTTTATCTCCCTTGTCAAATTTAAAAAAAATTTGATATTGATTATTTGAAATTTATAGTTGAGTTGTATAACTTAGACTTAAGTTTATTCTCAGATTAAAGTTAGTACACCCCACCCTAATTTCATTTAGGGAAATAAAGATAAGTGGGCATACAATTCCCTCAGTTAGTAGAGAAATAGATAATGGTAGTAAAATTAACTGTATACTATCTTATATTTTATGTTTACCTTACAGTACTTTAACATTGTATTTTATATTTACAATAAACTTGTTATGTTTTCAGCTAATATTTACAGCTTGTTTTGCTTTACCATGTTTATACATAGATCTTATGTTATAGCACTTGGTACAAACTCTCCGCCCTTCCTCCTCAGGCCCATTTCTTTTTGCTGACGTCCTGGACATAAGGTCACTGAGAGAGATCTGCGTCAACTACGAGATAGACTGGCTCATCCACTATGGGGCACTTCTCAGTGCTATAGGCGAGGCCAATGTGCCTCTAGCCATGCAGGTCAACATAGAGGGTCTACACAATGTGCTGGAGGTGTCTCGTATGTACAAGATGAAGCTGTTCATACCAAGCACAATAGGTACGTGGAAATAATGTAAAATTAATTTCAGTAATGTAAACAGACATACAATAAATACAAATGGTGTAAATAGACAAACAATAAATAAAAGGATTAAATACAAAAAAATAAAATTTCTTCAACCGACAATTGGTATTAGAATGAATATTTAAAAAACAAAGCTTTTTTATGTATACCTTTTTTTGGATATATATCGTTATTGTTGTATTGTATTTATTTTTTATATTATTTTATGTTTTCTTTTTTAGTTAAATTAAAAATGTTTTATACACAAATTTTCAATATCTTTGTGTTTTCTTAATACATAAAACCACTATTACTATTTGTAGAGTTTTTATAATATGCTTAAATGTGTGGACTGTTGTTGTCTAATGTGGTGCCACCATTTATTTTTGTCTAGGTGCCTTTGGTCCAGACTCCCCCAGAAACCCAACCCCTGATCTAACTATACAAAGGCCAAGAACAATTTATGGTGTTAGCAAGGTGCATGCAGAACTAATGGGAGAGGTTAGTACTGATAGAAAACTTTAACATATAGTCTCTGTATTCTGTACACAGTATGATTTGTAAATATATTTGTTAAATATGAAAAAAGAATAAATTTCTTGATGTTGAGAAAACAATAAATTGTAAATGTCATGTTCTTTAATGAACCAAAAATGCTTTCATCATAAAACTTTGATTAACTAGCATTTAACACATTTGTAGTTCTGAGTATTGCCAGTACCCTGACAAGAAAGTTCTTAACGTAAAAAATAAATGTGTTGAGGTGTTGACCCATTCACCAACTATTTTACCTAATGTAAAAAATAAATGTGTTGAGGTGTTGACCCATTCACCAACTATTTTACCTAATGTAAAAAATAAATGTGTTGAGGTGTTGACCCATTCACCAACTATTTTACCTAATGTAAAAAATAAATGTGTTGAGGTGTTGACCCATTCACCAACTATTTTACCTAACGTAAAAAATAAATGTGTTGAGGTGTTGACCCATTCACCAACTATTTTACCTAATGTAAAAAATAAATGTGTTGAGGTGTTGACCCATTCACCAACTATTTTACCTAATGTAAAAAATAAATGTGTTGAGGTGTTGACCCATTCACCAACTATTTTACCTAACGTAAAAAATAAATGTGTTGAGGTGTTGACCCATTCACCAACTATTTTACCTAATGTAAAAAATAAATGTGTTGAGGTGTTGACCCATTCACCAACTATTTTACCTAATGTAAAAAATAAATGTGTTGAGGTGTTGACCCATTCACCAACTGTTTTATAAAAAATAAACACGTTGAGATGTTGACCCATTCACCAACTATTTTCTCCCCAGTACTACCACCAGAAGTTTGGGCTAGATTTCAGGTGTCTGCGTTATCCAGGTGTCATCTCCACAGACCAGCCAGGTGGAGGGACTACAGGTGACAAAAATGTTTGAAATTTTCTACAGGCTTTGTTTTAAATTTTATATTTAACTAGTGTTGGCTTAACATAGTGAGACATAAAGAATAAAATCTGTCACAGATTATGCCCTGAAAATGTTCCACGATGCCCTGACCACTAAAGTCCACTACTGTTATCTGAAACCTGACACCAGACTACCTATGATGTACATTGATGACCTTTTAACTGCCACTGCTGATTTCATGCAGGTAGGCCTAATGTCCAAGTTTGTTTTTAACACATAGAAACTTAGAATACTTCCAAATGACTTTTTCACTGAAATAAATAAAACCTCATTGAAAAAATGTAAAAATGTGACCTCTAATATTTTCCTAAGATCCCAGACAACAAACTGACCATGAGGACATACAACATTGGCGCTGTGGACTTCACACCCGAGGAACTGGCCAATGAGATCAGAAAATTTGTGCCAGAGTTGGAAGTTGTTTACAACCCAGATCATAGACAAGCAATTGGTGAGTTTACACAGAGTCACCTGAATCTTTGTGGTCCACTTGTGGTCTACAAACACAGTCAGCTGGATCTTTGTGGTCCACTTGTGGTCTACAAACACAGTCAGCTGGATCTTTGTGGTCCACTTGTGGTCTACAAACACAGTCAGCTGGATCTTTGTGGTCCATTTGTGGTCTACAAACACAGTCAGCTGGATCTTTGTGGTCCACTTGTGGTTTACATAGTGGTATGGGGGTGAAGCATTGAGTGCTTTCTTATATACAAATATATCTTTTTATAGGAGTGGTAGCTGCTAGTCAAATTATAATGCTGATTTTTTTTCAAATTTCAAATTCCTTATATGTTAAACCACATCTCTTGTACATTTAACCACACCTTGTATGATAAACCCCATCTCATATGATAAACCCCATCTCTTAAATGTTAAACCCCATCTGTTGTATGTTAAATTCCATCTCTTGTATGTTAAACCACATCTCTTGTACATTTAACCACACCTTGTATGTTAAACCCCATCTCCCTCTACCCCACAGCTGACTCCTGGCCCCAGAGGTTTGACTACACCAACGCAGTCAAGGACTGGGGTTACCGACCTCTCTACACCATGGAGGCCATGTGTGAGGTCATGGTCCAGTCCCTGATGCCCAAGTACAAAACAAGAAGAGGGAAGATGATGGAGGAGGTCAAGGAGTGAATCATCTTGCGGCTACCATCTTATGATGGTCAACTGTCATCTAAACACACTTGGTTAATGCTGGTCAACTGTCATCTAAACACACTTGGTTAATGCTGGTCAGCAGTCGTTTAATTAGCTTTAATTAATGATGGTCAGCAGTCATCTAAATACACTTTTTAAACTGGTCAGCAGTCGTTTAATTAGATTTTATTAATGATGGTCAGCAGTCATCTAAATGCACTTTTTAAACTGGTCAGCAATAATTAATTACGAGTTGTCAGCTATCATTGCTCAACCGCAAGAAATTACACTTAAAGGCTGCGCTGGATTGAAAATTGATCCACTTAGCTCTGGCTAGTTTAAAATTAACAAATCAATTAACCATTATCATAAGTACCGGTGAAGAAAAAATAATTTTTAAGACGAAACATTTTTTAAAATTCAGGTCAAATTTGAACAAGTTTGACAATGATAGCAAAAGCAAACAAAAAAATTTTTAAAGTTAATTTTTACAAAATTTTGCATTTGATCACAATTAATTTATATCATGGCTTGATCACTCAGTGCTTCACACTTTTATCTCAATGTTTTTGGTGAAGGGAAAAGTTTACCCACAGCTCGTGTGAAGTAAACATTTTTTTCCGCTTCAGGTAGAATTGTTTAATGAGATGAGAATCTCGATTAATGCTGCATGGTTTTGGGAACATGTCCTGTCACCCCATTACAGTATTCATCAACATGCTTTTTTTAGTATAATTACTTTGCTTCATAATACACTGTAATGGTATGCTTTATTTGTTTAGAAATATCGTTGGTATTGTTTGATAGCAAAATTGTAAGATGTGATTGCTTAAAGATATCGCTTGTTTTGTTGGGTAACGGAAGTTGAAATTTTATAAAGAAGAGGAGGCAGTGTTGACGAGAATCTCATTGTTGAAGCATAAAAGTGATGCTAGCAAAAATGTATTTATTCTAAGGATAATTGTTTGTTTTTATTTTAAGATGGGACCATATTGTATGCACTTTTTAAAATAGGACCATAAAACATAAACACATTTTAAATTGGGACCATAAACTTTAAAAACTGGGACCATAAAATGTAAGGAAGCTTTTTAAAACTGGGATCATTGCAATAAACATAAGCAAACTTTAAGTTAACTTACTTAAAGGAGAATAAAGTGAGCATAAATTCTATAAAGTATAAAGACAACATAACATATACACATTCTTTAAACTGAACCATAAAACATTTTAAATACAGAACACAAGCTGCATTGACAGTTAGGTCTATGAGCTTGTGACATTTTTGTCATCGAGTTTGGTGTCACATTTTATGTGAGATCTTCTAACACCCACAGCACATACAAATACATGGCATCTCCACATGTCCAGCCTACATATAGATAGTCTACATGACCCCACTAAATCTTTCTGTTTTTACACCTGACATCAACAGAAGCCAAGAATCTCTTATTCCAATTTTAATATTTTATTGATGATTTTTTTGTGTGTTTAAAAATATTACATGTATTGTTGTAATATTAGTAAAGCACATTACTTAGAATTCTAGACATTCTAATAAACTGTTAATAGAAATCTGTGTTTATTAAGTTCTTTAAAAATCGGTTTAGGCAATTGATCAAACAGCATCATTGTCAATTTTCAATGATTAAAAACAAAGATTGCCAAACAAAAAATAGTTTATTATAGAAGAAATTTTGAAAAGTAAAACTTATACAAAAAGTAACAGCATTCAGACAGGAAGTGCAATTGCAATGTATTAAAACTGTAATACAAGTTGACCCGTGGGTGGCCTCTAAACTTGGTATCTAGTCTCTGTACTAGCGTACCTGTGTAGAGTATGTTGCAGGGGGCTTTTGCAATATTTTAAGAGGATTTTATCAACGTGTTACCAATGGTTTTTTCCCACGTTTTATTTAACCAGCTTTCGCGTCTGTTTGTTTGTTTGTCTTTCCATCAAATCTTGCGATCGAAATTTCGGGCACTTCCCAGTTAGCTAGCGCGCTGAAATTTTCAGGGAAGCTTTGTTTCCGATGACAATACAATATTCAATTATTATTATTACTAAATCAGTGTTTCTTCCAGACTTCTTTTTTCTCCGGGGGGGGGGGGGGGGGGGGGGCACTTGAAATTTTCGGGGGGGGGGGGGGTAAACTTTCTCCGGGGTGGGGGCGGACACTTAAAAAAATATATTTTCTATATAAATTATATAAATTTAATTCCGTTCGGTGGGGGGGGGGGGGGGGGAAGATGCCTAGAAAGAAGAAACTCTGTACTAAATTGTTCCATAGAAAATTTTTATTGATCATTTTAGACTCCTATTGATTTGTACAAAAAAGGGACATAACCTAGTAATTGTAATTTGATAAAAACAAGGTTCGGTACTTTCCCTCTTCTGGCTTTCTACTTTTTAGTTCAATCAGAAAACGTGGGTTTAAAAAAAAAAAAAAAATTAATGATAATTTATTTGGGACTGGTGCTGTGACACCAGAGTATAATTTAAAAATTAAAGTGACCACCTAACTATTTTCTTCCCGCCACATTTCATCATTATGTTAGAATACAATGATACATATTGATTACAACCATAAATCACACGCATATAACAATACAAAACTCTCCAGACCGTTTGCACTCTGGTTAAAGTTTTTTTCGTAGTATAAAGCACAGAATATAAAGAGGAAATTTAGACTTTTTAGGTTTAGGATACCGGTTGAAATTTTGTAGCACCAAGAAAAAAAAATTGTGACATACAGCGAGGAAACGGGTTTGATCGGTTTATTAATCCTAAATAGTTAAAATAGGCCTACATGTATATAATACTTGAAATAGAGATGGCGAAATTCTACTCGAAATCAGGCGAAGCGGTAAAAGGGAAAGAACCAAGGAAATACCGACTCCAGAACAAGCCGAGAAGAGTGACATAAAGAAAGGGAAACAAATACAATGATTTCACGTCTTAGGATGGAGTAGTTTCCTCTTTACTCTTTTGCTCGCACAGGAAATCAAGGAAGGGCGCAACTGGTATATTAATTTAATGCATTGTCTTATAAATAATTTCAGATGTGACGTTCCTCGATCCTCTAGACTAGGTGGGATGTTATAATTTTCTATTAAAATTAATAGGCTATTGACCTGGTAGATAAATTTAAATATGGTATTTCTTAGAAATATTATTGAATATGCGAGTGGTAGTCTATGGAAATATTATGAGATGGGGGCAGGTAGAAATGGTTTCAAAAAGCATTTCGTTGTATTATTTAATCATAATAAAAAACGATCGCTTATCAGTTATTATCATGTAACGGAAATTCAAGCTTAGATTGCTGGGCAGATAACCTTTCAACAACCCAGCCAACCATCTCTTACTCAACACTTTTTCACAGTAACGCCCCTTTGATTATTACGTAAATGTTAACGTGTTAATTTAACAGTTAAACTCAATTTAACTACTTTTGTTTTCATTTGCACTTTGTGGCATAGGCAGCATTTTGTCTTAGGGGTAGGGTCGGGTGGGGTGGGGGTTGCGGAGAAGGTTCAATTCGTATATATATATATATATATATATATATATATATATATATATATATATATATATATATATATATATATATATATATATATATAAAATGTGCCTATTTATAATGTACCACAGCAATTCTTTTTAATGAATGTAACCATTTAAAATGGTTAATATTTAAAGCGTCGCTAATGTACCGTCGCCAATAGCTGTATTAATGTAGGACATGTCATTTTGGGGGAGGGGGGTTCCTTTCTAGGCAATAAGGAATTGAATTACAGCTTACAAGTTTGAGAAAAAAGCGAACTATCTCAGAATCACTGCCAAATTTCAATTTCAAAATTACGTCTTAAAATATATAAGATGTGAGTAACTGTTACCCACCACCCTCATTTTACGCGTAAAAAGCCCGAGAGTCCAACCCTCCCAATCCCCCAGTAAGTGAAATAATTTATGGACGACCACACAGAAAATAACCGCAGCTCTTTACGTAACCTCGTTACCCAGCTTTACACCATATGCTAAACTGAGCTACTGCACTAAATCAAATAACAAACATCAAATATATTCGTCTCTAATCTTTAATACAGCACAGTATTGGTTTGTTCGTCTGATGGAGAGACGAGCCTTGTGTCTGGGTGAGGGGGTGGGGTGGGGGTCGTGGCCTCAGGATATTAAAACAACAGATGCTATTTGTGGTTTCTCCTGTAACAGCTAGTGCAGTGTTTGTCTAATTTTAAATCAGGCTTGGGTGGCATTAAAGATAGAGAGAAATACGTGCACGCTAGACTGTGGCACTGTAGAGTAGCACATCAAAGTAGTGCACATCAGACAGTGGCACTGTAGAGTAGCACAGCAAAGTAGTGCACATCAGACAGTGGCACTGTAGAGTAGCACATCAAAGTAGTGCACATCAGACAGTGGCACTGTAGAGTAGCACATCAAAGTAGTGCACATCAGACAGTGGCACTGTAGAGTAGCACATCTAAGTAGTGCACTACAGTAGCAACACAGTGACACACTGTAGTAACAGAAACAGCTACAGCAACACTATAGTAACAATACAGTAACAACACAACGTACTATCGTAGTACTTTACTGTAACCTTACAGTAACGAATGGTTACACAACACGAAGGCCTATTAAAAAAACCTTTAATTTTGACCATTGTGAAAAAAAAAAAACAACCAACAAACATAAAAATAGATAAGAAACAAGAAAAAAAATAGGCCTAAATAAAAATCCATGTTTAATAAACGTTAATTCTTATAGTCTAATAAAACCACAACAAAAATTAGCTAATATAATTAAAAAACAAAACAAATTCAAACAAGAAAGAAGAAGATACTAGATCTATAAAGAAAATAATTCATTCTTTAGCTAACCCCACGATTAAATACACTGGAAGCATTAAAAAAAAAAAAAACCATGAACCAAAAAAATTCCTTCAACAGAATTCCACAAACTCCCAACATCTGTCCAGAGCCAACATCTTTTTTAAACATGGGAAATAACTTACATCCATCCTGCTGCATCCCTCCCCACCCCCCTCTCACCGTTCCCATCGAAAACGAAAAAAAAAAAAAATTCGACGCCGTTGCAACATATTTTGTTCGCCAGCGATTATTCGCTCACAAATGATACACGAGTAGAAGGCGGAACGTTGAGGATAAGTTTCACGTGATGCTGTAGGAGATAACTTTGTAATTGTGCGCTGTGATTATGTGTATGCTGGTGTGCCAGTGACTAGTCAGGTTGGTTGGTGCATATAATATATAAGCATTTCATACTTTTAGTGTTTTATTTTTACGGAAACAATAGCATCATATAGAAGAGTGTTTACTAACAAAATGTTAATTTTTATCACTCGTCTTACATTTTTTATTTAAGCATTGTTGTGTTTCATTTAATTAAACACTTTAATTTTAAAGCACTTAATTTTTTAGAGCAGGTTCTATAACCGTCATAAACTGATAAAAACTTAGCGCCCCCCCCCTCTAAGTGTACCACCTGACCTAAACGACTTGGACTGACTCCGTAAATGATGTCACGCTTTTTTGGACGATTTTTACCTCCCCCCCCCCCTTCCCTCCGTCACACATCGTCACAAAAAGCCAGACCCCCCCGTTTAAAATTTTGTCAAACCTCAGCCTACAACCCCCCCCCCCTCTTCAAAATTGCAGTCGAATTTTAAAAAAATACAATATTTTTCCAAAATCTTGTCTGAAGTCTGTCAACATAGAGTATTGTAATCAATTCCTATTACAATTTATTAAAACAGTTTTCTAAAACGCGAAATAACGGCTAAAATTTCGTTTTCTAACATTGCTTTTTTATAATGCAAAAATGTGACGTCACAGCATCTGAATCCCCCCCTCCCCCTCATCACACACCGCCACAAAATTACGGACCCCCCTCACCCTATGAGTGTGACGTCATTTATGGACGACCCCTAACCTCCCCTGGCTTACCCTTACAATCAGAGTTTTTTCCACGCATCTCTTCGAGGGGGGGGGGGGGGGGGGCGAGACAGTCTACACCCCCCCCCCCCGCCCCGAACGAAATAGAATTTATATAAAAAATATATCATTTTAACAGTGTCCCCCCCCCCGTCCCCCCCCGAAAATTTCAAATGACCCCCCCCAGGAGAAAAGTCTGAAAGAAACACTGCTTACAATATAACACAAGAACACCTACTCGTGGTTTTATTTACATGCACTGTAATACATGACTCTGGAGAGTACTTTCCCCTCGACTTTACCACAGTTTCTCTCATCGCATCCAGCTCAGCTCTCCATGATAAATCGTCTATAATAAGCTAGAACACTAGAACAGATAACTTGGCTCGCCTAACCACAAGATACAAAAAAAAAAATGCGAAAAGGTGAACTCGTTTTTCATTCTTAACAGAACAACAGTACTTTAGCCCAGTGGCGGAATACCTGAGAGAACCCCCCCCCCCCCCCCCGGGACACCATCCCACCCCCCTACCTGTGCTTGCCGACTGAACAGTTGATTGCTATCTGATCAAGATATAGAACGCGACATA